CGGGCACACAATGGCAGCGTTTTGCCCTGAGGGGGCACAGCCCGGCCGGGCGGGCACATGCCCCGCACACGGCGCGATGCCACGCTCGGCCCACACCCACCCACGTGCCGTGGACAGGCAGCACTGCCCAGAGAGGCTTTGGCTGCCCCTGGGTCCCTGGAAGTGTCCAAGGCCAGGTTGGACGGGGCTTGGAGCAACCTGGGACAGCGGAAGGTGTCCCTGCCCATGGCAGGGGGTGGGACTGCACAGGCTTTAAGGCCCGTCCCAACCCAAACCATTCCATGGCTCTATCAGTGACCATCACTTGGACCTAAGTCTGGTAGGAATGAGGAGAGCATTTTGCAGAGGGAAGCAGGAGGATCACCCGAGCAGCACAAGGGCTTTTCTGGCCACAGTTGAACTCATCTCAACCCTCGTGCCCAAAGCCAGGTTTATGTAAGAGTGTAATCTCCTGCTGTGAATGACATTCTGTGTTTGTACAATGCAACATTTCTGATGTCTTTGGGCTTTAGGGCTTGGAAATCCTCTTGTCGAGTTCAGCCCTTGATTAGAAATGGACCCAAAGTCTTTCCACTGGTTTTGTTCATCTGTGAGTTTGTGTCTTTAAATCAACAACTTTTCATTATTGTTTTTAAATGAGTTTGGTGTAATTGATTTATAAAATCCATCCTTTGCTGGCAAAATTTGTCCAAGAAAAATGGATGATGAGGTTTGGAAGTGAGTTGACAACATGCAGCAGTTGGTGCCCTGAGGAGGAGAGGCTGGGTACCCAGCAAGGTCTGGTGGCTGGAGAGGAGAAGGTTCCTTTCTGTCATCATGGAATCACTGAATCATTTGGGTTGGAAAAGCCCTCTGAGGTCATCGAGTCCAATCATCCCCCAGCACTGCCCAGGCCACCACTGACCCATGTCCCCAAGTGCCACATCTACATGGCTTTTAAATCCCTCCAGGGACAGGGACTCCACCACTGCCCTGGGCAGCTGTGCCAGGGCTGGACAACTTTTTCCATTAAGGAATTTCCCTGATATCCAACTGAACCTCCCCTGGTGCAACCTGAGACTGTCTCCCCTCATCCTGTGACTTGTTCCCTGGGAACAGAGCCCGACCCCCACCTGGCTCCACTCTTCTGTCAGGGAGTTATAAAGATCTTATATATATATATATATATATAATATATAGGGATATATTTTTTTTTTTTACCAAGCTATTTCCATGTCCCTGACTTCTTGATTGCAGAAAGATACCGAAAGAATTTTGGGTTTTTCCTGGTGCCATCTGTTGGTTACACACCAGCCCTGGAGGAGTCACCTTTCCCAGATGAGTGCCCCATGCTCGAGGCACCATTTGCATCAGTCACATAAACACCATCTTCCCTGTGACCTTCGCCACAAGAAGTTTCTGTTCCAGCTGCCTTTGCTAAAATCTCAGACACAGCACCTGAGCATCCAGAGGCATCAGGGCACAGCAGGGATCTGATTGTCAGTGAGGAAAACCATGAGAGCCCATTGCAGAAAGAGGAAGGGGCTGCCATGGCACAGTGTTGGCAGAGTGCCCATGGCAGAGGGGGTTCATCAAGAGATCTTAAAGACCCCTTCCAACCCAAGCCATTCTAGGAGTCTGTGTTTGTTGGCAGGGTGTTGGTAGAGCTCTGTAGACTCCTCTGTGATCAAGTCTCTGCTCCCCAGTTCCTGCTCCAGCCACAGGTTTCCAGGAGCAGCTGATGCACACACTGGGCAGCCCAGGGGAGCACACGGACCTGCACAGGCTCTGGAGCAGCTCTAGAGCAGAAGCCACATACCCAGGGTTGCCATGGGAGATGCCACCTGACAGTCAGGGCAGGATGACAGGCACGGTGGTATTGGAGCCATACATTCCCACTCCTGCACATAGCCAGGAGGGATTAAGGGATTACATTTGGCTTAAACACCCAGAGGAACACTCCCGTGGATCATGTCAACAAGCCACATCCCAGCATTTGGACTGCATGATCTTAGAGATCCTTTCCAACCTAAATGATACTGTAACTGTGCTTTTCATTCTGTCGTACCTTCTATGTATGAAAAAACGTACCTTGGACTTCCTCTTCAACAGAAAATTTCAGGATTTTAACTTTTCCCCCAGGAAACAGCAGCTGCAGGTTCTTCCCACCACAGGCAGCTATTTGTAAACAGCTGGACAAAGCCACCTCTCAAGAGCAGGGAAACATTCCTTTTACACAAACTCGGTGGGGTGGATTTCTGCCTCTTCAAGCCTTCAAAGAAGAACAAGCTTTTATTCTTGCCTATCTGGTGTGGCACAGCAGAGCAGTGAGAGCCAGTCTGAGCCAGGAGCACAGCAGCACATTCCTGGATCTGTCTGTGGATAAGGTGTGACTCCCCTTTGCCTTGCAGCACTGGGGCAAACTCAGCTGCGTGCGATGACCTCGTGTGTGACCTGCTCAGAGCTGAGAGAGCTGGGCACAACCAGCTGCTGCCACACGGGAGCACCGCCCAGCAGCCAACGGGGAAAGGAAGAGCTGGGGGCGGCTGCAGCAACCAGAGGAGCAGAATGGCACGTGGGAGGTGGGGTCTGCTGTCCCTGATCACAGAGCAGGATGGCACACAGCGGGTAGGGACCCAGTGGGAGGGTCTAGGCACTAGGCAAGACCCAGATGAGCAGGTAAGCACCCTTACAAGGTCAGTCTCTGTAGCATTCAGCAATTAATTCAAATTTAAAAAGCAATAGCACTGTTCAGAGCAGATGCAGTTCTCACTGAAGTAAACTCACATTATCCACTCTGCCAACGGGGGATAAGAGAAGAAAAAGCAGTCCCTTTGCTGTTGGGAATAAGAAGAGAAAAGGTTTCTCTTGGCTGTTGAGTCTCCCAACACTCCCATGATCAGTGAGAACCCCTCCACTGCTGGAGGTCCAGAGCACCTGTAGCCCCAACCCCAAACCCTGGCATCACCACGTCACACTGCCTGTACACCCCCCCTCCTCCTGCCCCACTCCCAGCAGGCAGAGCAGGATCCTCCTGGAGTCCTCTCTGCAAGGAGAAATGCTTTTTACAGAGCTGTTGCAGTTGCTTTGCTCTCTGAGCAGTCAGGTTGGTCTGTGAGCTCCTCCCTCCCCCGCAGGCTGGGGCCCTGCAGAGCTCAGTGCCCGCACAGGCACTTGTCACCCACATCCTGTCTGTGACCGTGGCTGTGTCACACTGTCATCTTGCAGCACCCAAAGCGTGCTCTCACCACTGCTGGGAGGGCATCACTTGTTTGGTCTTTCTTGAGAGAGACTTTCCACACTCACAGCAAGCCCGAGTCTCCCAAGGTGTGGCAAATTAACCTTCCAAATCAAAGGAATCACAACTTCAGACTGTAAAGCTTCAGTAATTTAAGGTCCCTTTCTCAGTGCTGCAGCTGTTCATTCTCTTTGGGCAGTGTACCTACCCTCACCAGATGTTCTGGTTTTTCTCTCCCAGTTGCTTTCAGACACCCTTTAAGTCAACATTTTGGGCAAATAAAACCAATTTCTCCTTTTTTTTCTCCTTTTAACTGGTGCCACTGGCAACAAAAAGTAAAATTTTCTTGAGACAGCAAAGCACAGGCGAAAAACTTGATGCCTAGTGATGAGCTCCAGAGTCCACCTGAAATGCCCCAGCCTGGGCTGGGGATGGGCATCAGCTCCATGTGGGTGTTGGAGCAGAGCCCCACTCTGGGCCCAGGGGCTGGGGTGGATTCACAGCAGGGGAGCTCCCAGACTGAACTGCAGGCACTCAGTCTAACAACACGGACAGGACATCTTCCCACATGTACAAACTGCATGAGCTGCCCTCCTGATTGTCCTCTGGCTCCCCTGAGTGCCCTCCAGGTCTCCTGGCTGCTCTCCAGGTCCTCTGACTGACCTCCAGATCCCCTGAGTGCCCTCCAGGTCCTCTGACTGACCTCCAAGTCCCTCGAGTGCCCTCCAGCTCTCCCAGAGACCTGCTGTATTTCCAGCTACTTACTCATTTCCAGAGGCCAGTACTGGCCCTGCTGGCTTAGCAGCGTTCATGCCTTAGAGGAGCGTTGGGAACAGGCTGTGTCTGTTTGGAGCTCATCTCAGAGGGAAGCTATTGGATTTATCCTGCAGTTCCTGACAAGCCCAGGGAGCCCTGGCACAGCAGTACCCAGGGTACAGCCACATGGGCTGCCCGGGCAACAGGTGAGTGAGTCACACAAGGTCTTTGAATCATATCAAAATGCTTCCAGTTGTATTTGAAAAACATCATTAGTCTGCTCGGGCTGAACAAACAGCCTGCTTCTGTACACTGAGAGGGAGGGAAAATTTCCCTTTTCCCCCACATCTGTGCCCATAGTTATTGAATCACCTCCCACACACTCTCACACCATCCTTGCTGCCTGAGGCCTCTGATCCTGGAGAAATGTGGGCAGGTAATGGTCCTCCTGCTGTGAGCAGTGGGAACACAGGCCCAAGGGGCAGCTCCTGCAGCCCCTGGAGTGCTGAGGGAGCAGACTGCGAGCACAGCGTTCCAGGAAGGTCGCTGAGACCCACTGACCTGCCACTGCAGTCAGCACAGAGCAATCCTGCTCATCCCTGCAGGACAAGGCTCTGTCTTTACTTCTCTTGCCTTAAAGAGTTCCATATCTGCTGGGCACACGGAGCTGCTCGGGGCAGCAGCACACAGACACCACCATCTTCCCCTGCACTAGCTCTGCAGAAGAACCTGGGGGCATGTATATGCTCAGGAGGGTCCTTTCCACCTCAAGTCCCCTGGAATAAGACAGCTTGGCATGACATGGAATATCAACACCTGGCAGAGATTGCAGCTGGTCGGATGAAACCGATACACCAGGTTATTGCAGGGTTTGTACAAAGGCTGCCAGGAGACGCCAGAACATCACTGCCTGGGCTCTCTTTGCCTGCTCAGGGCTCCCTCCTCTTCCCAGCGTGACTCTGTCACTGGTTTTAGTAGAAGCACTTGCTTTATTAAAGACCTTTGGAAGCCACTGACTCCAGTAACAGGAAATAAATAGCTATCAATTTCGCATTCAATTAAAAACTCTTATTAACACTAAAGTTCGCTGAGGAAGTTCTGCAAAGGTTCTTCACATTTCTCACGTTAATGAAGAGGTCCACAGCGTGCCCTGATTAAAAATGAAAATAATTAAACGCCCAGAGCTGTGTAAATCTCATCAGTGCTGTTGTCTGCAGGAGTGCCCTGCCGTGCCACCGCCCTTCACCCACGGAGTGCCCGGGGCGAGGGGCTGCCTCGGTCCCACGGGCAGAGCCCAGACATCGAGGGTGACACGTGTGACGTCAGACACGGCTTTCTTCCTCTTCCACCGCCCGGTGAAACCCTGGAATGAATTTCAAAAGATGCTTCCGGACACTGGCTCTCCTGCTTTTCCGCGGGAGGGTCCCAAAACTACTGGAGTAGCTGCTGCTCTCCCAGAGCGGGGACATGGAGCCGCTGCTGGCCAGGCTGACGCTGCGGTTCCTGCGCAGGGAGCACCTCCCGGCAGCACCGTCCCCGTCCCTGGGGAACACACAGTCATCGTCCACGCTGGACTGGCGGCTCAGGCTCTCTGCAGCCGAGTCCTCGAAGGCGCTGCCCTGGAAGAAGCTGTCCTCGCTGCCCACCGTCATCGAGCTCAGCCGGCTGCGGGAGCTGCTCTCGCTGGAGAAGCGGGGCTTGCTCGGGAAGAGGGGTCCTGGCGAGCTGCAGCCGCCACACGAGCTGGGCTCTTCCAGGTCCAGCGCGCCCAGCAGAGCGTTGTCGTTCGCCTTCCCTGGAAGCGGGAGCCAGAGAGGAGCGTCAGTCACCGGCACCCGCCACGGCCAGGAGCAGGACGCCTGTGCCACGGCAGCACCGGGAAGGGTCATGCCCAGCCCGTGGCACACGGAGCAGCCCCTTTCCACACGGGAAACTGTTTCTGGCTGCGAGGTGCTTCCCACAGAGTGGGGATTGCAGAATCAAACCAGCTCCCTGGGCAGCCCATAAAAAACCCAACCAAACCTCCGCCCTGATAAACCCAAATTAAGAATGGAAAAAAGCTTCGCCACCCACATAAACTCATTTCCTAGGACTGACACGAAGACACCTTGGTCTGCATCAGTCAAAGCAGCATAAAAGCTCGTTACTGTCGGGACAAAAGCGCTCCCAGGGCCAGCCCCACGCCTTCATTAGGAGGGGGGAAGGAAGCAAGAGGCGGATTGCAGAAGTGCCGTTTCCGCGGCAGGGCCGGGCAGCGCCGCGGTCCCGCAGCCGGGACGTACCGTGCAGCAAGTGCCGCTCCCGGGCCAGCAGCGCCCGCAGCTCCCCCCACCGCTGGTGCAGCGCTTGCTGGGGAGGAGAAGGAAGAGGCTCCGTCACTTCGCAGAAGCACAAGGCACTTGTCAAGAAAACAGTCTCTGAACAGTGCAGGTCACGTCCAGGAAACGCTTGTGTGTCTAGCTTTTACTGTGACGGTTTTACCGGACTGCAGCACATTTCTTCCGTAAAATATTAGTCTGCTCGTGCTCAGAGTGTTCTGGCTGAGGTACTGGCCATGTCTAACTTAGAAAGAAGCAGCCTGAAACCTGGAGAGCATGCAGCCCATCTTCAGACAGTGCCAGCACTCCTCCACAGCTCCAGAGACCCCGCTGGGAATGGGCACCCCACTCCTCTTCCCTGAGTTCCACAGCCCTCCCCAGCTCCAGACCCCCACTGGGAAGGGACACCCCACTCCTCCTCCCTGGGTCCTGCAGGGTAGCAAAGGGGGGCACAGCCAACCATTCCTGCCCCGTGTTGGGAACACACCCGGAGCATCCTTACAGCCTCCCAGGACCACGAGCCACCCAACACCCCACAATGGTTCCCTTCTCTCTGTGGCAGGTCAGCTCTTGGTGTACAATAAATCATGGCAGAGTTGATTAAAAACACCCACCAAACAGGTGAGGCTGTGCCTGGGGACAGTCACAGGAGGCCCCTCCCCACAGATCTGATGAACCCCATGCAGCTGGACATTCCTACAGCCAAACTGACCAGCATAAGCTATCCTGGGCAGTCCAGGGATTGCAGCCACATTTCTTCTTGGAAAAATAATATCACAGGGACTAGGGCTAGGGGTGCTGGGGGTGATGGCTGCAGGGGACCCATTGGGTGTAAGCCCCTGCCAGGATCCTCAGTCCCATGGACACACACCTGACCCCATTGACCGTGACATGTCTGCATCAACAGCAGAATAACTAATTAATTACATTACCTTGAGTACCTGCAGCTTGGCCTCCAGCTCCATTTTCCGCAGGAACAAGGCCCCATTGACCGTCTCTAACCTGTGGAGAACAGGTGATGGTGGCCCCAACGTGCAGAGGCTCTGCCCAGCCCAGCCCTTGGGGATTTCGGCCTCTGAGACAGCGCAGGGCTGGGGGTACCACGAGGAGCTCTCCTGGCTTCAGCAGGAGAGGATATGAGGCCAAATCCCATCTGAAGGAGGGACACCCACCTCAAGTAGTTCCCTGAAGACTTTATCAAGTCCACTATCTGCTTGTGACCAAAGCCCTCGGTGTTGACGCCGTTGATGCTGACGAGGATGTCGCCTGTTGGAGACACACGGAGGCCAAAATGAGCATCCACAGCCCATGCACGTCTTCCAGCTGCTCCACAATAACAGTGACAGGGAGAAAGGAGGGTAAGGCCTCCCGTGGCAGCAAAACCGATGGATAGTTACCAGTCTGTAGGCCAGAGAGATGGGCAGGACTTTCCTCTTGAATTTTGCAGATGTAAGTGCACACCTCCAAGGAGAAATCATTTTGGTTTGGAAACCTAACGGTCTGTTAATGCCAAAGGGACAGAGTTACCAATACTGGAGCCATTAAAACCATTTAAAATTCAATAGTCTTTTACATTTTTTCAGTGAGAGGGCTGTGATAAGCCTCAAAATGTTATAACCCAACAATTAGAAATGTATTTATACGGCAGAGAACAGCAGACATCTGACAGGTTCCTGTACGCTGTGTTTGCAAAAAAAAATAGACTAATTTTAAAGCAAGTTTATTATTCAGTATTAAAAACTCAGTAACTTTAACAAAAAATATCTGTCAGCATGGGTGGGGATGGCCTTCTGGAAGGATGTCTCGTTCCCAGGCATGGGAAGGTGGCAGGATGGGACAGAGGCTTTGCAAGGGGTTGACTCCTCCTTCCTGGGAATGCCGTGTGGAGTCAGCTTCTGCTGCCAGAGAGCTCGGTTTGCAATGGGAACCAAAAAGAAAGAAGAGTTGAACCTACTCTTGCTATTTTGGCCTCTGAAACTCATCATCCACACACATCCCTGCACCCCTCAAAAGTGCTTTTTGTTCTTGACTTACATATTTAAATATACAGCAAGTAGCTCTAAGCATAAATCCCTCGTGTGGTTTTGGGTGCTGACATGAATTTAGAGAAATGCAAAAGCTGTCACCACAGCCCCCCCCGGATCTTGCAAGGGAGGAAAACATCCTCTGGTGTCACGCAAATACCTCGGCACATCTGCCTCCTGCACTGAGCACTGAGGCTGAGCTCCCTGAAAACCCGTGGCTGCTCCACCAAACCCAGGCTGAACAACTCACACTGCATCCCCAATTTTCTCAGTCAGTGTGAAACAAAGGGGTGGAGACCGGGTGAGTTCAGAGCTCATCTGGCCAAATCCCCCCAACACAGGATTCCAGCCCCTGGACCAGCAGTAAGACTTCTGGTTAAACTATGGGCAGCGAGTGAAGCCTGAGCTCCCTGCAGATGTAGGCCTAAAGTTTCACATCATCTTATTCTGTTTTGCCTAAATTTAACTCGTAGTAATGAAAGTACAGCTTCTAAGTAATGGTTATCCTCAGTGTCAGAGGCTGCCTTTCCACGGCCCAGACTTTCTATGAAGTGCTCACGCTAAATGTGCGTTCGGGAAGAAAATGTGCCAGGAACAATTATTTTTAATCAGAATGTCACACACAATGAAAATCTGCCCTGACAGTTTACACAAAAGCCCAATAATCGACTCAATTATCCTCCCTTCTGAAAGCTCTGCTCTGTTCACGAGCCGAGCGCTGCCCTGCTCATTAGTCACAGACCCAAACTGGGCAAAGTTAAGCTTTTCCTAATGCACTGATTTCACTGAAAATACCGCTTCTCCCTGGGAGAGTGCTTTGGAGGTGCCCTGCTGTTGGCAGGCAGATCCCACTGCTCCCAAACTACATCCCTTTATTCCTGGGATAATTTTTAGCTACAGCCAGGGTTTTAGTTGGCCTGGTGATCTAGGAAGTTACCTTTCTCACAAAAACCTATGGAAAAAGTCTCCCACTATCTGTACTCCTGATAAAATTCTGTTTTTCCTATCTGATGATTTACTGACTTCTACATTGAACAGAATATCTTCCTATATGATTTAACCCCCGCAAAAAAGTTATGCTTAGCAGTCATTTATTGAAAAATACACCAATATTTTGCATCTTCAAAAGTACCTACCTCTCTATGTATGTTAAAGGAGGTAGCAAAAAGCCAGTATAAGGTATTTTTTGAAGAGAGTTTTTTTATTTCTCTCCTTTTGTATGACAATATTTTCATATACAATTCTCAAAAAAATATTCACATATGGAGGCAAGAAGGCACTGCCATTGCCTTTTATGCGGATTTGGATGGGATTTCTCCTACATTCAACACTCTGATTTGTGAGAATGCCAGAAATTCTCATCTGTGACCTTTGCTACGAAAAAAATCTTTGGAAAACCATCCCAGTTCTATATCAGTGCTGTAAGCTCTTCCAATTTCACAGAATCTGACAGTCACTTTCCTCTGCTCTGGCCTGCCTTAACATGATTTTAAGGATGTGACACTTAAGACTCTGCACCACATTTTTTTTTAATGAATCATCTTATCATTTAAGTCTTACCTGGATTTCAAACCCAAACGTCTCTTTATCTTCTTTCAATATTGCAACGAGGTGTCTGTAGGAAGAACACACACAACCCCCTGTGAACATGGGGTGACACGCTCTGTGCACCTGCATGTCCAACCAAAACCATCGTGTTCCCACCATCACCTCTCCCTGGGCCTGTGGGGTGTCCCCACGCCGTCCCTCTGATGGAGCAGTGGTGGTGCTGCCTCTTTCCTTACTCAAACTAACTCAAACTAAAGGTCACCTGCATTACCCAGGTACTGGCTACCCGTCTCTGCCTTGCACCCTGATCCCACTTGAGCTGGGAAGATTCCCAGGACACATTTCATGCAGAATAAGACAATAACAGTGACTCTAGAATCATAGAATCATACCTTTGTGGCTTGGAGAAGTCACCCGAGGAGCTGGATCTGGCTAAGGCAAGCTGTGACCAGAAGTGGGAGAGGACAGGGATCAGTAGATCTGTGGCTCTTGGAGGCACACAGCTAAAATCAGCAGTTTAGAGAAAAGCTAAAAGCAGCTGGTGGCATCCCACAGCACCTTGCACCAACACAGCCTCTGCCTCAGTCAAACGGGAACTTGAACCTTCTGACCAGGAGGAAAAGCATGCAGAGGTCAAAGTCACCTGTCAGATGCTGGCACTGAGCTCAGTGCTCAAATCACATCTCTGTTGTACCAAGAGCTCACCTCATTTTTGTACCTTTCCTCTAAAAGTCTGTGGGCATTTATGAACCGAGCACTTGCCAAGAGAGGCATAAAGCACCCAGGTGAGTGCAGACAGAGAGCTCTGAGGTGTCTCATGGCAGCTGCACAGCATTTCCCAGCCAGACACGGACACCCAGGATCCTGCTTCAGGCAGTGCCTGGAGAGGTCTCTGAGAAAAGCCAGGATCATTGATTCTTCCCATAAAATTGAACCAGGAATGAGGAATGACAATATCAGTGAAAAGCCTGTAGCTGAAACAGCCAATGCCTCAGGCTCAGCAGGATCAAATGGTGCCACAGTGTGATCTCCTACAGAAACAGCGATCATGGCCGTGCAGTTTCTTGTCGAGGGACAAGGAGAGGAGGGAGAGGTCAAGTGTGTAAGAACCCACTGCAGAGAAGGTGGGAGGGCTGGAAGAGGCACACAGGGTGATGGACCCCGCGTGGGGGACGGGCCCTGCAGTGCGTCCTTGGTTCTGAAGTGTGTTGTAACTCAGCTTTGCCAGCCACAGCCACAACAGAGCCGTCACCACCACCCTGCCCTGCCAGCAGCCACCACCACACTGAGGGGGACAAGTCACAGCGAGGGTGGGTCCATCACACCGAGGGCTGCTCTGCCACACCGAGGGCAGCTCCACTACAGCCAGGGGAGCTGGTGCCACCCAGCAGCAGCATTCCCAGGACCAGCCTGGCTCTGGCTTTCCCTTATGTCCCTACATGTACCAAGAAAAGGATGAAGTGTGTTTCTGTGGCTGAACAAAGTGAAACCTTAAGTGCACAGATATTACACACTACTTTTCTGATCCTAATTTCAGACTATAATGTGTGTCAAACGCTTTCTATTCAGGTTTCTTCATGTCAGACAAAAAGTCCAGAGCTGGAACTACTCAGCTGATGGTTCTCAGCCTCAGCAGGACAGTCCTGTGGGAATCCCACAACAAGCTGCAGCAACGTGGTGCTCTGTGCTGCACTGAGGGGAAAGCCCAGCAAAAGAGACAGCCCAAACAGCCCCAATAGTTGTCCAGAAACACCCCCAAATCCAGATGGAAACAGCTCCTGGTGGGCGCTCTCTGTCAGCACTGCAGAGCAGAGGGCAGTGGTCAGGCTGCCAGACTGACGGAAATGCACATTTAAGGGAGCACCCAGGCAGCACGAGCCCCTCTGTGGGGCTCTCAGCACGGCTGGAAATGGAGAAGGAGCTGATCCAGGGCTGGATCCCGGTTGCTGCCGCCCTTCACAGCCCGAGCCCACAGGCAGGGCAGGACACCTTGTCACTCGCTGCTCGAGGAGCTTCCCACACTGCCAGCGCTGCCAAGATCCCATCGCCACCCCCAAAATGGGCCCAGCCAACGGCACCCAGCAGTCATCCCTCCAGCACCCCGAAACCGGGAGCCACAGGGAGCCTGCCCGGTCACCGCTGGGTCACGCCCGGGTGGCAGGAGGAGCCCCGGCCCCCCGCAGCCAGCCCGTACCTGCTTGCGCCCGCGGGGCAGCGTCCCCACCGTGCTGGCCAAGTGCTGCATCCTCCGCCCGGCCGTGGGCAGTGCCTGCTCCCCGTCGGGGCTGCAGCCCACGGCGTTGGCGTTGTGGTTCTGCTGCAGGAGCCGCCTGAGGGCCATGGCGAGGGGCTCAGAGCGGCCCTGCCAAGCCCTGCGCCATGGCCACGGAACTGCGCCCGCTGCCACCCACAAGGGCGAGAGCGGAAAGGCCTCCACGTGACCTGTGGTTTAGGTGCATGTTACACAAATCCCTCCTAGCAGAGCCCGAGGCTCTCGGTGTGCCTTGTGCTCACAGGCCAGTTAAGAATTAGGCTTGGCAGTTACAGAAATCTGCTTAATTTTTCCATTCCTGCACACAGCAATTCTCACCAGCAGCTGCTGCTCTGCCAGGATTTGTCCTTATGGCCCTGCCTGCCTCAGGCACTCATCTGAACTCAACCTGCACATTCTCTGACTTGCTCGGCATTCCTGGCATCCCTAGAATCACCTTTTGGCAAAGATGGGAAAAATAACACTGCTTTTGGCTAATGGTGTCAGTGCAGGACTTCCAGTTCCGGAGAGGGAAATGAGAGCTGAAGGCCGAGAGCAGGAGCTGAAAACGTGGCAGAGCGAGGGCAGAGCAATGCCCTCAGCACAGCACTTGGCTCACAGTGGGGAGCAAGGACTTATCTGGCACGGCAGGTCTGGGGACACACAGCAAAGTCAACTGAGGGGCTTCAGGAAGGATCAGAAGGGCTGCCACAGCAGGGCCCAGGCAGGCACAGCGCCAGGGACAGCCTGGCCAGATGTCATCCCTGCACCTGTCCCAGATGGCCAAGCCCGAGGAACATGCAGGGGTGACAGGGGGGTGAAGAGGAGGGCAGGCATGCTGTGCCCAGACAGGGGCACACACTGAGTCCACCAGTGCAGGGGGGGTGGTCACACCCCCAGGTGCCCTGCAGACCCTCCCTAGGTGTTGGCATGACATGCCAGCAGCCAGTGAGCCACCAGGGCCACTAAGCCATTGGTCCATCCCAGAGCAGAGTGATCCCAACCAGAGTCTCACTCTGATCTGCACCAGCCAGAGCGTGGACCAACTGCCCAGCAGTCGCCCTAAAATCAAGTTTTGCAGGGGGTTCCTGTCTTGCAAAGGATTTTGTCCCAGCAGCAAATATGTTGAGGAGGATTTATGAGTCTGAGAACTTCTGGCAGGGTTGTTTTTTCTCTGCAGTTATTGTTTGTTGTCAATTCATTGTAGCTTTGAATAAGCTTTGGATTCCCTGATCCTGGGTGCAATGGAGAAGCATGGGAAGCAGCCCCAGGCCTGGGTGGGACACAGGGGTGGCTGCCTGTCCCCACTGCCCCTCAGTCACAGGTCAGCAATGCAGAAGGAGGACAGGCAGGCAGCAGCACAGCTTGCCAACCCTGGCAGTCACCCCAGCCAAGTCCTAAACACCCACGGAGCAGGGGCCACCCCTGGCACGCAGCCCTGCAGCCATGGCCGGAGCCCTGTGTCCCAGCCACTGGCACTGCTGGCTGTCAGTGACCTGGAGCAGCCGCTGGCACAGGCTGGACAACCCAACAGACTCATCTGAAACACACTGTGCCATTTTTTGTTGAGACAGATGGACAAATACCAGGGACTGCAACCACACAAAGCAGCCAGAATTAGCCCTGGCTTGGATGTGAACCTGCACGGGGAAAAGCAGGACCACTGCTATCAACATAGAGAAGTAATACAAATGTACAAGTTGCAGTCATTTTCTGAGTAAAGCCTTTTCTGCACCTTTACAAGGTAGTGCTGCACACACCTGGGACACCCAGTCTTGGGAGGAAAGGCTGGCAGGGGCACAGGGAGAGGAGGGGCCAGCCAGGACTGCGGGGTGAGGGGGTTCTGTCTCTGCCAGCCATGAGGAAGTTCAGTGCAGGCTGGCAGGTGCTGTCACGACAGCTCAACACAGAGGTGCAGGGATGGGTGTCCATGGAGGAGGTGCCTAACATTTGCTGGTGCAGAGGAGCTCTTAGTGCCAGGAAAATGTTGGCGTGGTGATCCAGGGGATCAACTCATTGCCTTGGATGGCTGAAGTGTCAGTACATCCCCATCCTAAATGTTCATCCCTCAGAAACCTGGCATCTTGCAGCAGAGAAACATCCTGTCAGGAAACATCTGCTCCACACACCTGGAGGAGAATTGGTGGCTGATGTGTAGAGGAGTCCCTGCAGTCCCTGTGCCTCGATGGGGACAGGGAAGTGTTGCACACCACAGCAGCTCCGCAGCAACGAGTTTAAAGGTCTGTCCTTCATCTCGAGTTCCTTGGGGGAGCCCCTCTGGGTTAAGGTGCAGAAAACACTGCAGGAGAGGGGGAAAGCTCTCTCCTTTTTCCTGAGAGAAGCAGCTCTAGCCCAGAGGGGCATCTCCTCACTTGCACGCTGAGCAATGCGGGGAGCTGGTGACTCAAAGCCGCTTCCCCTTTTCCTGCTCACGGTCCCCCCGGTGAGTGCTTTGATAACAAACAAAGCACATTTCGGTTCCTCCGGCAGCCCTCTCTGACGTTCCTGAAACCCAGTGACTCATCTGTAAACAAGCTGAGGGCAGAAACAAATGAAACCTCCCATCAGAGCACAAAGCAGGACCTTGGTGCGAGCTGCCCCAGCA